GGACACAGTAATGGACATAAATATGAACCAATTGCCACCAATTTTGATCACATGATTGGGATGCTACAAAGGTTGTAACTGTGAAAAATGGTCATAAGTCACTTTTTTCAGTACCGTTGTAACTTTGAACAATCACTAAATGAACGGTTGCAAGGATTACTGTTGTGAGGACTACCTGTATTACAAAAATATTTTCTCTGGAGAAAACTTTACTACTGTAATTGTCCAAAGAGAGAGGAGGGGAGGGGAAACAGGAGAGAGGAGAGACGGTAAGGGGAGAGGTGGTTTACCTGAATCAGAACTACCTAATGCCACATGGACCCATTTTCCTCCTCTCATAAAGAAACTGATGTTTTGGGCATTCAGAGATTGTTTAATAGCAGCTAACCACTAGAAATTAAAAAAAACATACAGAAGAACAAATCAGTGCATTTTTAATGTTGTTAAGTGTCAGGGACTTCAGAAAAAAGGAATAAATTACGAGATGGAATTTGCTTCACATAGCCTAAAAAGAGAAAATTAAAAAGAAGATGCAACTTATGCAGACAATGAAATGGAAGCATTGCTTCTCAACTGTTAACTGCTTCTATGTACAAGCTGATTAGCTCCCAAGGTAAGGCCAAGAAAAAGGACACTGGAAGAGTGACATTTTCATTCGTATCTATCCATGCCCTTATTTCAACCTTTCCATTGGGATTCCACATAATAAATTCTAATACTTCCAGGTTGAGATATATTGACGTTAGCCAAAAAGAGAGGATCGTGTTTTTGTTTAGAGATCCAGTCACTTGGGTAATCCATGTTTCATCTGCCTAAAAATAAGACAAAATATGTCCTAAGGCAACTTGGGATGCTATTTGTACCAGTGCAGAATGTCTAAGGCAGTGTTTCTCAACCTTGGCAACTTAAAGTTGTCTGAACTTCAAGTCCCAGCATTCGCTGGCTGGGGAATTCTGGGACCTGAAGTCCAGACATCTTCAAGTTGCCAAGGTTGAGAAACACTGGTCTAAGGGCATATAATTTCCCCCTGTTTCATCATATCTTTTCTAAGACTACATTTGTAAGAAACCAGATAATAGCCTAGTAGCCACATGAATCTAAACCCAATTCTTACTCTATCATTACAGGCAGCATTCTGCTCTAAGATGTCTACAGCAAAGTATGCCTAATGACTTTTTTGATAGTATTGTAGTCCACTGTGATGAAGTACCGTATTTTCACGACCAAAAGCCGCACCGGATTAAAAGCCGCAGTATCAATTAA